CCTATAAAGTATGGATCACCTCATCTGATATATTATGGGCATGACAACACACCAGTGTCATCAATGCAAAGTACTTGGGAGAAAGAGATCGGATCTTTGCAGAATTTAAGGAACATTTATGGAGAGCACAACAAATCATGAAGAAGCAGGAGGATGGACATAGGAGAGACATGCAATTTGAGTTTGGGGATAAGGTATATTTGAATATCTGTGCTTACAGACAAATGACTTTGGCTCAACGAAGGAATGAGAAGCTATCCCCTTGCTACTTAGGGCCCTACGAGATAGTGGAGCGCATTGGCGCAATAGCATATCACCTATGGTTGCCGCCAAGCTCTGCCATCCATCCTGTATTTCAAGTATTTCAATTGAGACGAGCCATTGGAGCCCACAAACTCTCACCCACACTACCAGCCACACTTTTAGAGGATATGGATGTGATGTTAGAACCACTTGAGGTGAAAGAGGTGTGCTAAGGTGACAAGAGGTTTAGGGAGGTGTTGATCAAGTGGAAAGGAGTTATCAGAGTATGAGGCGACATGGGAGCCCTAAAGTACCATCGAGAAATAGTTTCCCTCTTTTAACCTTCCAGCTCTCATGTTGGGCCCAGGACCTCATTTATCACCTATAAGAGAAGAGGCTTTGGGGGGAGCTCTTTGGGAAAGATGCAAGGGGCATTTATTAAGGGATTGGGGCTGATTTGAATTCAAATAAGGAGGGAAGTAAGAAGGTTTATATGAGGGTTAATAGGGTTTTTTTATTTTATCATGTTATGTGTGTTTGCTATAGTTTTCTTTGTAGTTGTTTCTAGCGGCACCTAGGGTTTGTGGAGAGCTGATTTACCTCTTGAATAATAGATCAACTTGTATCTTAGTTTGTTATGCTGAAATAAACATCTTTCTTGCTGATTTTTGCCGTGTTTTATCTTGTTCTTTTTTTTTTTGCTATGCGGAGGACAAATTCTTATCATCCTTACATCGCTTCTCTCCTTGAAAAGCCTTTTATCCTAGCCTCCAAGGCTAGATTTAGAGTTTTTACTCTAAGAGTCTATAGAGCCCCTTTTCAAGAGCCTTTGCAACAACCCAGAGGATCTATGGATATAGATTGGACTAGACAACCTTTATGAATCCCTCACAAATCTTTTGGATGCTCTCCAAAAGATATCTCTCAAAGCTTCACCAATATATCTCTCGCCCAAACCCTCTTTCCTATGTATGGAGTCTCTCTAGAACAAGATCTTGAAGATTCTGAATGAGCTCTTTAGAAAAAATTTCTAAAATATTCTGTTAGGTTTTTTAAATTTAGAGGATCAAAGGTTATGGATTGGACAAGCCAGAGGATCAAAGGATATAGATTTGATTAGATATCCTTTATGAATCCCTAACATAAATCTTTTGCTCTTACCAAAATATCTGATGTAATAAAAAATTTGGGAGAAGGACCCAAATTTTTTATCACAAAAAAAGAAGAAACTCTTTCTAAGAACAAAATAAAGACATAAAAATATTCAAAAGATACTTTTTATATTATATAAAGAAACTTACAAACATAGACACTTACTTGATGACACTTACAACTTTGAAACTTACAAATGACTCAAACAAGACACCCTATAGTTGCTTCACATAGAGAAGAAGCAGCCACCAAACAGCCCCAAGAATCCCCATAAATGGAATGATAAAAGCCTTAAATTTCCTGCACAGGAATCCCAAACAGCAGGGCAGAAAGTCACTGTTTCCAGCACAGAAAATTCCACACGGTTTCAGCAAGCAGGCCGAAATTCAAAGCAGCATAGTTACGGGAAAAGCATTCCATTTAGGAAAAAACAAAGGCTGGCTGAATTCCCGAAGGTAAAGCATCAAAATCAATAACTTCCTCATTAATATTTTGCATTGAATTAGCCATAAATAAAGAGCAGGCCACGGTTTTCCAAGAAGAAAGGGGGGAAGGTAAAGCTTTGAAATCAGCCATCACTAAAGAGCAAGCCACGATTCTCCAAGAGACAAGAAGAAAGAAGAGGGGGAAGGAGAAAAGACACAAGGGAAGAAACCTAAGAGCCACAAGGAGGAGGGAATTAATCTAATTAATCATCAATTTATGAGCTTAAAACACTCTACTAAATATTAATGAACTGACATTTAGTAGAGGATATTAAAACTCACCAAAAGTAAAACTCAACTTGTTTTGACCCCTCCCCTTGCCTACATCAATATCACTCTCAATGCAACACTAATCTCTCTCCCCCAAACTCTTTCGCATATCTCTGCACTCTCTCTGGTACAAACTCTAGAAGACCTTTAACAGGCTCTCTGGATAAAAACTCTGAAGAACTTGGAATGATGCTAATGATTGTGATGATGATGAGAAGATTATGAAGATGAATATCAAATGTAAGAAATAAGAGATGAGTGTGCTAATCACCTGATGAGGTTTAGAAGAGAACTTAAAGATGTAAGTGTGATATAAGTGACTGCGTCAATTTGGTTAGGAAATTGTGGCACTCAGATGAGGTCTGAAGACCAAATAATACAAGAAAAAAAAGCATAAAAAAGGAAGAGAGGAAAGAGTTCATCAATTAAGTGATGGATGAAATTTTAAAAAAAAGGACATACAAGCATAGTCATAAAAGCATGGTAAAGAAATTGCTACTTAAGTGTTCTTGTTGACGAATATTTTGTAAATTTTATGATTGAGTCCATAAGGAGACGATATTCTTACCCTCCGGGGTAATATATTGTATTCTTATGCCGCACCCGATTATAAAATATGCAATCCGTTTGAGGATACAAAAATTCTCCAACAGTTCTTTCCCAACTTCAGACTAGAATTCTCTTACATTTTGGGATGCTATAAACAGAAAAAACTTTCATCCAAGAAACCATTTCTAGGGAAGTGGTCTGATATGTCCATCCTATAGCATCCAAGGAATCTGCATAAAGTCCAACTGACCAAACAATCCCTAAATAAAGCTATGCATCAAACTAATTATCAAATAGGTAGGACTCAATGCAGTTTAGAGTGCTTTAATTAAATATCTAGGATTTCATGATAATTTTATGTCATTTCCATCCCTAGAGATTTGTGTATTATGGGCATACGATGTATTGAAGGAAATGTGCTATTTGGAGAAAGCAGGTAGGAGTACCAATAGACTTTAGAATGAGAAGCGTTGCTGGAAAACTTACTTTAAGCTTAAAGCTTGTTATTTGAAAAGAATAATATTGACTGGCTAACACTTAAGGATGTCATGGTGGGAAGCTTTCCCATCCCTGCCTCTCTTATTGAAGATTTTTGAAGATGCGTTGTTTTGTATGTTTGATAAGGTTTTTTCCGTGATGTTTGTAGCTTTGTTTGCATTATTGGCCTATGTTTTTTCAGACCATTTCTCTCTCTTACTAAAATCCATCAAAACCAATTTCTTTTCCACTCTCTTTTTATCTTTTACCAAAATCCATTTCAATTTTCAATATATAGCTTTTTTCCTTTCTTAATATTTCCTTGTATTTCATTTTCCTCTCTTTATATCACTTTCTAAAGTTTGAAGTAGTTTGTAGCAAACAAAACATGTCATGTAGTCTTTACATCCTAGACTAAAATCCATTTCTTTTTCCACAACTCCGCATGCCACTCTTTGTATTTTGTCCTTTCATTGTTTTTCTTTTATGTTTTTTTCTTTATTTCCATTCCTTTCTTATTTATTTATTTATTTATTTATTTATTTTATAAGGCTATGCCAATGTTTAGAAGATATCAAGCCCATCAATTTAGATGTGAAGGGGAGGGTAAGCATTTGGATTTGGGTTGCCGGAATATTCAATTTAGATGTGGATAGTGTGAGCATACAGATTTGGATTACTTACATATTCAAAATTTCATTTGTAATGGATCATGTACGGTTGTTTTAAGGGATTGGAGGCCCGGTTAGTAGGATGAAACGGATTTTGATAGGATTTAGCTTTGTTTTTTTTTTGCTTTAGTTTTAGAAATTAGTTTAGGATGCAAAATTCATCAAAATTCAAATTTGAAATTTAAGTTTTTTAGTAATTTGTTGAGATATTCTAGTAGCGGTTGAGGGAACTTAGAAGACGTGGTAGAAAGCAGAGTACCTGTCAGATGATGTGCCAAAAATAGTACACGAATTAGTTTTTTGTTTTGCCTTTTTGTATAAGACATGATTTTTGGTTTGTCGGTATTTGACAAACGAGTTAAGTTGGGATGGGAAGAAAATTGTAATAAACTTTAAGAAAAATTATTGGAGATTGATATATTCAATTGCAAACACAACAAGAAATTGATGAAAATGAGTACAAAATAACCAACTCTAATATCTTCATTGCAAGCTGCACGATGGAAAAGTGGCAATCAATAACACAGTATTAAGAAATGAAAAGATATCAAGACAATGAATCCACAAGTTTTTTATCTCGGTTTCTGATGACATTGAGTTTTTGAATCCTTGTGGCAAGAGAAATTGGAAGGTAATACAAAGGTTGCAGAAATTTTCCATTTAACTCTTCAAGGAAATTATAATAATATTGAAGGAACATTTATAAGGCCCTATGTTTAAAGGAATTAAATTCTCAGTCAAGCATGAGGTATATTTTTTTATTATATCATTTAAAATTATAAAAAAAGAAATAAATAAATAGTGCCAAATCATGGCCCAGCAAGAAAAATATGGAAACAATACTAATGGAAACTTTCATGCTATCACATAGTATAATAAAGTTTCACTCATAATGTAGTAAACTTCATAGATTAAGGCCAAAATTTGGTTCATGTTTTTTAAATTATTTCTATACTTGATATTGATTTTTTAATAATATTGTGTAGAAAAATCATGACCTTTACTTTGAATTTACCTACCTTTGTCCCTACTAATTGATTTGTACCAAGCTCCACTTTTTATTTATGTGTACTTAGTACTGTTTAATAAATTTTTATTGTTTTGGATTTTGTTTGTATAACGAATGACACCTGCTTAATGCTCTTTGGGTTAGGTGCCATCCAGAAGTGCTCGTCGGAAGAAAGCCAAAAGAATTTGGCATCGTACTTTAAAGAAAGAAAAAAAGGTATTCTGGTTTTTGATCACTTAGAGTTTCGCCTTGGGTATATTTATGCATGTACCTGAGTCAGTGGCACATTCATCCATTTTCTCATGTAACAGGGAATACCATGTGCAATTTTTAGGTTTGTATCTTGGAAATAAATGATCGTTATGATAGGTCAAGATTTCCTATTGATCTTCGACACCCCAAAATTAAGCTCGAGTTCAATTTATTATTTGGTTTTGCTTCTATGATGCTTAAGAAAATATTTAGATGGATGGTCTAGATATGAGAAAAATATTCATGTTCTTTTTTACAAATACTATCCTAATTTGTAAATTTTATAGTACTTTTTTGTTGTTTATAGCAGTTTCAAAGCTTTTTCTTTCTATGAAAATTGGATTAGGAAGGCTGTGCTATATTAGTCTAATTCTTCGCACACACATGCACAGTCCTATATATATATATATATATATATATATAAAGAGAGAGATGAAATCTCTAAATGATGCTATAACCATGAAGTATTCATGGAGCCACCATCATTTGCATCCTATATATAAATTACTTTGTCTTCATTTGCATCTTATATGCCTACATCATCTTCATTAACTCTTAAATTAGCAAAAGATGATGGACTGATTGACCTTGCATTATTCTCATTTGCAACCACATATTGTATGCCTGCATGTATGCTTTTGTCATGATTAAAATATGTAGTTTAAATATTATTGAAGCAGTAAACAATCAAGCCTTTGCTCCGTTTAGTAGTAATTGTCAATCTAACTTGGCTGTATTTTCCCATTTTCATTCAAGCAACATAATAATATTAATTCTTAATTCACCTTTAGAAAAATATTGCTCTAAATATCAACATAAGTTAGATCATTTCTAGTTATACACAATTTAAGAATATCCCGTCCATATATGTTTGAACCTTGTTCAAACAAAATTGTATATTGTTTGAACTTTGTTCTCACATTTTATTGAAATCATGTTTGAACAAGATCCATTCTTATCAAACAATTTGTTCAAACAATGTTTGTACATGGTTCGAACAAGATTCTAACAAATTTTGAATATGGTTTAAACAATGTTTGTACAAGGTTTGGACATAGTTTGAAACTAGAACATGATTTGAACAATGTTCTAAAAACATTTGAACTAGGTTCGAACCTTCTTCAAATAAGGGTTTTAAATAGATCTACCTCACTCAAAACTTTCTCTTTGATCCTCTATCTAGTTCTGCAATAAATCTCCTTTAAAATGACTTCAATTTGGTTGTATAAATCCAACATAAAGCATATGAAATATTACACAATCACTTGGATCATATGATATAACATCGTTGATACATTAAACAAAATTAACCTATGCTTATATCATTCAATATTAAACTACTTTGTCCGATTTTACTTATTGTTGCGGTCTTCTCCCTTTGTAAGAAAAAATCTGAGACTAAAGGATGTCAAAACTAGCAATGGAGAATGACGGAAAGTGTATGGAGTAGGGATTGACAAAACAACCTAACTTTGTGTTTTTAGCTGGAGAGAGGTCAAGTATATGGGCATAGCGAGGGTAATTTCAGCATGAAGGAGATTTCAAGCACATTTCTCCATGAAAACAAATAGCAGGGATATTTTTTTGTTATATGAACTAAAATTTTCACAAATATTTGTAAAAATAAAAAATGGTAAAATATGCGATTTCAAGCCAACTTGAAATTGAGCCGGTTCAAGTTGAGCTGGTTTGCTTAAAACCAAATTAACTCGATCCCAATGATCTTGAGCCAACTCATATAAATTTGATTCGATTTCAAATTTTCATTGCATTGGCTCGAAATTGGTTTGTTCTCTCGTGTAGTCTTTAGAATTTGCACATTAAAGAGCACCTTTCGAATAGTGAATTAATTGTATCTTGCATTTTTTTTAATTGAAGATTATTATTTCAGTTTTATTATGAGATTGTGTTTTAGATTTTAGAGAGAGCTAGGAGGATCACATATCGTTGATAGAATTTGCTTACAATAATATCTACCAATCAAGTATCCAAATGACTCCATATGAAATACTTTATGATAGAAAGTGCAGGACTCCCTTAACTTAGATCGAAGTAGGAGAAAGGCAACTAAGGGGCCCAGATCTAGTTGATGAAGTCACAAAGAAAATTAGATTGGTCAGAGATAGATTGAAAGCTGCTTAGGTTTTATGACCCCAAGCATAGAGCACTTGATTTTGAAGTGGGTGACTTTGTAATTTTGAAAGTTAATCTTGTGAAAGGTACAATCAGGTTTGGGAAAGGAGGCAAATTGATTCCTAGGTATATAGAACTTTTTGAAATTATTGAAAGGATTGAGAAATTTGCTTATAGGCTTGCCTTTCCAATTGACATGTTAGATATTTGCAATATTTTTCATGTCTTTGCTAAGAAAATGGGTCGCAGATGTCCTTCAAAGAATTTCACTAGATGAAATCAAATTACAGAAAAATATGACTTATACTGAAAGAATACTAGATTTTGACACTAAACAGCTTAGAAATCATCATATCTTTTATGTTAAAGTAAAATATAAATATAGACAGAAAAATAGGCAACCTGGGAGAAGGAAGAAGATATTAGATTGAAGTTTCCTTATTTGTTTGATGGCCACTAAGTTAATGAATTTCGAGGACGAAATTTAAATAAGGAGGGGTAAATTATAATACCTAAACTGTTCAAAATAATGTAAGCATAAACTTACTATAGAAGTATATTTAAAGATTAATCTAATTGTATATGCATAACTATTTAATGAATAGCTGTTTAACATTTCAATAAAAGTCAAATTAAAACTAAGTTAATTAACTATTAATTTATAACGAATAGCAATGACTTAACTACTTAACAGTCATTTCATTATTTTATTTATATTCCTGTTGCTTAACCACTTACATAGACATGTAAAGGCTGGATAACAAAGGTTATAATCAGCGGCTGAGATTTACCTTGGGAAATATTAGGTGGATTTAGTGTTATTATTATATTAGTTTGCCTAAAGCACTCTAATGTTATTATTATATTAGTTTGTCTTATTACCGTGGGTTTCAGGTGAGCGGGGAACTGGAAGAGGTGGGGCTGCTGTGGAAGATTGTTGCAGATATTGCTGTTGATTTCTTAGGTAATAAGACAAGAAATTATTTAGGAATTCACTGAAATCAGTAATTAATATTTATAAATCTGTTGTATGGCAAGTAATATTGAAATCTATTGTATGGCAAATTCATATTTATAAATACAATTTCAGAAATCTGAAATTGTATTCAGAAATCTGCAATTAAGCAATCTATATGGCTAAAATTTGTATTGCTAAAATTAGTAATTTGATTTCATTAGGAAAAGAGAGGAAAGAGAGTAGGTTGAATTGAATGAAATAGTGTAATAGAGGTGGTATACAAAGAAAAATTAGTCTGGGTACTTTAGCTGAACAAAGTTACCTGACTTTTTTAAAAAAATGAGGTGAGATACTCAAACGATGCATAGGAAATAGTACAATTTTATATAATTGCAAATTTATATTTGTTATATTATGATAGTATTCATTTTAGTTTATTCCAGTTTATTGATTCATTAAGTAGTAATGATTACATTAGCACATTGTATTATTATGAAAAGTGAATGTTGATGAAAAAGTGAAATAAGTCATAATGGTGGATATGCCTGCATAAGTAAAGACGAAATACCTGACAAGATAAGCATACACTCTTGAAATTCTAAAAGTTGGGAATTCAAATCCAATCTTGAATGAGAGAACAATTTCAATTCTAAAATACGAGAATTCAGACTCAATCTTGAATTAGAAAGATGGAAGAATGCAAAAGTATATAGCTATTATATGACTTGTATAAATGTATTGTAAATTAAACAATACTGAAGATGATGCTATGTATTTTTATGACCCCATGGAATTTACAATTGTTTTAAGTCAATTGTCAAAATGTTATTATTATTCTTTATACATTGCTTGCGTATTTATTGAGTCTTGACTCATTAGCAGTGGTTGTTCTGCATGTAAGGGGAATGAGCTAGTGGTATGGTAGGTATGATAATTGACTACTCTTTTTGTGTATATATACTTGTGGGTGTACAAACAAATTTGAGTAGGAGCTCTACAAACATTTTTGATGATGTAAGTAAATTTTGAAAGTTAGTAAAGCTCTTTATTTTATTTGAGATGTGTTTTTTATTTGAAGTATATTACATATGCTCTCTGTTTTTAGCTATATAGCTTGATATATTAAGATATTCTAAATAAGCTATTTCTTTCTCCTTGATTATGATAGAGGTAGCTCAAAATTGGTGTTAATAAGAAGAATATCTGTTCAGATTCCCCTTCTTTGTTATACTCTAGATTTACTTTAGGGAGTCAAAATGAGCTGTAACAATTCAAGGGCCGTTTATGGGAGCTCTTTCGAACCAAACAAGAGTGGGGCTATTCTGAGCAGTTCTTTACTTTGACACATGTGGGAATGGAGTACCTGGAGAGATTTGAGCTTCTGTCGGGATGTTTCGAGAAATTATCGGAGATGGTGTTAGAGAGAAATTTCATGAAGGGGTTCAAACTAGAGTTGATAGCCGTTGTGTGGGTAGCAAGACCATGTGACTTGGGACATGCTATAGAGTTAGCCTAGTTGATAGAGAACAAGAACTCACTTGAGAGGAGTAGCAAAAGGGGTAGTATTGGAGGTTTCTACCACACGGCAAACACCTTCCTTACACCTAGGATGCTCACTATATTGGGTCAAAAGGAAGCTCCAACGAAGAAAGGTTTGAAAGCTTGGCTGGGAGGAAACTTTAAATGGATGATTGATACGGAGTTGCAGGACAAACAGGCCAAGGGGCTATAGTTTAGATGTGAAGAGAAGTTTTCACTTGGCCAAATGTGTTAAAATCGCACCTTGTAGGTCCTTTTTGTTTTTTAATGAGGAGGAGATGGGCGGAGTAGAGGTAGATGGATAAGTGGCAGAGGAAGAAGAGCCCTTACACTTGGAGCTGGTGTAGGTTTCATTAAATTATATAATGGGATCCACCCCGAATCACACTATGAAGATGATGGAATAGATAGGCAAGGAAGTAGTGTAATTTTGTTGAATAGTAGGGCTAGCTGGGGCTAAAGATGGTAGATACAACTTGCTTTGGGGTGATGATTGGCACAGGGAAGGTGGGGAAGAGCAGGTTTATCTGTTAGGGATTGGTGGTGAAGTTGTAGGGGATTCACATTAAGGAGGATTTTTTTCCACTGGAGTTGGGAAGTATGGATTTGATCTTGGGTATGAAGTGATTACAAACCTTGGGGGAGACCAATGTAGACTAGAAGGCCTTAGCTATGGAGAAGAAGGTGGAGAGGAGAAAGATGGTGATTAAGGAAGACCCTAGTTTATTCAAAGTAATGGTTTACTTGAAAATCATGGCGCATGCCATGCAGGGTGAAAGAGTGGGATTCTTGGTGGAGCTCCAAAGCTTGGTGGAGGTACCCGGGAGAGAGGCTATTCTAGAAGTTGTTCAGTCGCTTCTCCAACAGATCTGTGAGGTATTCCAACCTCCCAAATGATTTCCTCCTGCACGGGAGCATGAGCAAGATATTATCATTAAGGAGTTTCTCCCATTAATGTCCGACCATACCGCTACCCATAGGTCCAAAAGGATGAGATTGATTGGATGATTTAGGAGTGCTTGAAGTTGAGATCATCAAGCCCAATGTTAGTCCATTTTCTAGACCCATGTTGCTAGTGAAGAAGGATAACAGTTGGAGATGCTATGTAGATTATCATGCCTTGAACAAGGAGTCTATACTAGACAAATTTCTCATACCAGTCATTGATGAGTAGCTAGATGAGTTTCATGGCTCGGTGGTGTTCTCAAAGATCTATTTGAAGTCTGAGTATCACCAAATCAGAATGCGACCAGAGTACTCCCACAATACAGATTTCAGAACTCATGAGAGGTACTATGAGTTCTTAATGATGCCTTTTGGCCTCACTAATGCCCATGAATAGGGTGTTAAGGCCTTATCTTCGAAGGTTTACTCTGGTATTCTTTAATGACATCCTTATCGATAGCAAGTCAGAGGAGCAGTTGGAGCAATTAGGGATGGTTTTGGGAACTTTGAAGGAACACATACTATATGCCAACTTGAATAAGTGCTCTTTTGCGTTGCAGAGGGTGGAGTACTTGGGACACATTGTTTCAGGGTGAAATGTCAGTGGATCCAACTAAAAGATATAAGTAATGGTGGAGTGGCTAGTGCCTAAAACCCTAAAGGGGGTAAGGTGGTTATTGGGACGCACATGATATTACTGGAAGTTTGTAAAGTCATACAACTCTATAGCCTGATTGTTGACATAGCAATTGAAGAGGGACAATTTTAAATTGGGGGGGGGGGGAGACGGCCACCCAGACATTTGAGCAGCTGAAGAAAGCCATGACAAGTCCATGTTAGCACTACCAAATTTCAGCTAGCCATTTCTAGTAGTGACTGATGCATCAGGCTATTAATTGGGAGTAGTTCTCATGTAAGGGCATAGGGCCATAGCTTATTTTAGCTAAGTGTTGTTGATTATGGCCAAACTGAAATCTGTACATGAAAAGGAATTGATGGTGTAGTGTTAGAAATTCAAAAGTGTCGGCCTTACTTGTTTGGACGACACTTCTTAGTCAAGATCGAGTAGAGGAGTTTGAAGTTCTTGTTGGAGCAGAGAATGGTGACAGAGGAGCATCAGCGGTGGCTTTCCAAGTTGTTGCGGTATGATTTTGAGATCCAATACACGCCTTGGTTGGAAACTAAAGATGTAAATGCTCTCTTTAAGCGTAGTGAAGACCCCCAGGTTATGATTTTATCGGTTTCCATGGTGGTGGATTGGGAGGTCTTGAAGCAAGAGAGCGAGCATGATGAAGAGTTAAGTAAAATAAGAGGAGATTTATTGCAGAATAGGGACAATCATCTTGGTTACTCCTTGGTGGGTCAGAAGCTGCTATATCAGGATGGTTTGTGCTTTCATGGACATAACCACACATCCCTTGTTGCATGAGTTTCATGGCACAACTATTTGGGACATTCGGGAATCCAAAAGTTATATCATCAACTGGTAGCAGAGATGTACTGTGTGGTCATCCAGAAGGATGTGGAGAAGATGATGGCCAGTTGTGATGTATGCCAGAGACATAAATACCAGCTTATAGCTCTAGGTGGTCTTTTACTTCCTTTAGGTTTTGCCCGATAAGGTGTGGGAAGAGGTGACTATGGAATTCATTGAGGGATTGCCTATGTTAGAAGGATTCATTATCATTCTGGTGATGGCGGACAGATTGACAAAATATGCTCATTTCATTCCCTTACGCCACCCATACACTGCGATGTCTGTGGAAGTCTTTTCATTAGCGAGGTTCTCCGTTTGCATGGTAAACCTGAGTCCATAATGTCCGATCTAGACAAGTTCTTTCTGAGCTATTTTTGGATGGAGCTATTCAAGATACATCAGACTATCCTAAAGTGGAGTACTGCTTACCACTCACAGAAAGATGGCGAGATGGAGGTGGTGAATCATAGTGTGGATACTATCTTCGTTGCTTTGTCTCGGTTACACTAAAGATGTGAGCCAAATGATTAGCCTTGGCAGAGTGCTGTTATAACATTTCATATCATACAACAGTCCAGATAACACCATTTAAAATATTATACGAGAGGGATCCATCTAATATGCTACATTATGGGCATGTCAACACACCTATGTCGTTAGTGGAGCAGTACTTGGAAGAAAGAGATAAGCTCTTGGAAGAATTGAGGTGACATCTACTGTGCACAACAATTTATGATGAAGGGAGACAAACATAAGAGGATGTGCAGTTTGAGTTGGGGACAGAGTTTATCTTGAGATCCAACCTTATAGGCAGATGACTCTAGCTCGACGGAGGAATGATAAGCTATCCCCCCGATACATTGGGCCCTAGGAGGCTGTGTAGCACATTGGCGTGGTCTCCTATTGCCTACTATTGCCACCAACTTTAGCCATCCATCAAATATTTCATGTGCCGCAGTTGAGACGAGCCATTGGAGGCCATACACTCTCGCCCGCACTACCGACTACAATGTCAAAAGATATAGAGATAATATTAGAACCATTGAAGGTACAGGGGGTGCGCCAAAGAGACAAGAGGATTAGGGAAGTGTTAATCAAGTGGAAGAATCTACCAGAGTTTGAGCGACGTGGGAAGCCTACAACACTATCCAGAGGCAGTTCCTTGATTTTCATCTTGAGGATAAGGTGAGTTTTGGGAGAGTATTGATGCGGCTATGGACCCCACCTGCTCAGTGGAATTCTAGGAGCCAAAAGGCTTCTATTTTATGGGTCCCAACATCACTTTTCAGTCCTACAGAGGGAGAAGGATTAAGGGGAGATCATTAGAGAAAATGTGAGGCGCATTTATGGTGGGAATATGGCTGGTTTTAAGGTGGAAAGTTTGTATGGAGGGTTTAAGTGAAGAAATTTCATGAGTAGTTTTCTTGGCTGTTTTGGGTTCCTAGTTGCTGCTAGGAATTGAAAGAGAGCCGATTCTCCTCTTGTACAAGGAATCAATTGTATTTTGTGTCTCTTTTGATTGAAGGTTATTATTTCAGCTTTATTAGTATTGTTCTTGCATGCCATTGCTATTTTTTTCTTGATTTTGGTGGCTGTTTTTTGTTGTTTGGTGTTGAATTTGTTCTAGTGGCTATTTTTGGTGCTGATTTGATCTCCAAATCATATTAGGACTCTTTTAATGTTTAGCCAATTAAAATCATCATCAACAATCTTGGTTTTTTATTTTGATATCTCTTTGGTCAAAATTCAATTTATAAAATAGATGATATTTGGTAGAGAAATGGATGGCTAATACATTTTAATTGTATTTTTGTGTGTGCATGCGAAATTCTAGTTCTAAATGCATCAAGATTCTTCTTGCAAATAGATTGAACTTCATAGTGAAATATGCAAGTGACCATTGTTGATATTTCTCATGTAAAAAGGAAAATGGGATTAAGTCTTATGTGTTTCCGTCAGTGTACCATGGCTATTAAATAATGTTACATGAAATTTTTGTTAAAAATGTCATCCAGAAGCAACAGATTTTCTTAGATAATTTCAAGTCTTGTGATCACTCTTGTTCTTACCTACTATAAATATCTGATTAGATTTTCATTTAATTCAAAAGTTTCTACATAGAGTGAAGTGTCATGGATGCTGAATCTGCTATGCATTCCAGGAGTCACATTTACATCATATTCTAATTGATTGTCAAAATTGACTTATTTTTTTCTATTTTGACTTTGTAAGCTCTGGAAATTTAAATTAAGGTGAACAGGTGTGATATATCATTTGAGTTCCTCATTATTAAAAAACAATCTGTGAGCATAGAAGTCTTCATACCTTTTGAATTGCAGCGTGCATCTCACTATCAGTGCAAGAGTACACGCACGCATGTATGCGGCGAATAGCAAGACCTAACTTATTTGGTAAGTCATATAGGAAAGTAATGCTTATATTTGAATTTGCAGGTTATTGTTTCTGAATTCTCGGAAGGTGACAACCAGAAAAAGGAACCAAAATATGCAAATGATGACCAGAATACCGATGCGGATGAAGAAATTGTTCATGTTGTAGTTCCTGGTCATATTCATTTTGAGTCTTCTGGTATCAATCATAAGGCTTCCTCATTTCTCTTTAATATCTGCATAAAAGCTTTGTTAGTTTTAAATATTCAAACAATTGAACTTAAATATTTTTTTGTGCTGATAATATTATTTTACATTTGGCTGTTGGAATGGTTGTTCTTAAACTTTCACTTGGCTCTTGCTGTTTTAGACCTTGATAGGTTCTGCTTTACGCACCACATTTGCTTAATTTTATTAGAGTGGAATGCCCAAGAGTTTGCAGAGGGTTACATACTCTATCTTCACTCGCTAGGGAGATGTAATGGCAGAGTTGAAAGAGTATCAGGGACTAGTCTTAGGGCTACGAGAAGATGGTGTACTGTGGTGAAACTCTACCTGCCTTTGGATGGCTTTATATTGAGGAAAATTTGCTCGTTATCCAGGGATGCTGGGAGGTTCACGTCTAACAACTGGTTTGGGGTGGACGTTATTTGCTTTGATCTTTCATCTCCGTTAATTTGCCTTGGCCTTGTTTTACACTTCGTCTGTTTGTTCGAAGTTTTGCTGCACATAAAACGTTTATTTCACCATTACCGGTATTTACCCCAAAATTTCCCATAAGAAATCAGTGTTCGCCCAATCTCACGCTTTGAGATGTCGTTTATGCATGCTGATGAGTCGAAGGATGAGAAAACATGGAAAAAATTGATGAGCAGGAAGAAATTGCAATTCGTTTTGAATAAAGATGAAAATGAACGTCTAGAGATATGTGGAAATATGAGGAAGACAAAAGGACGATCAGTAATCCCACCTCATTGAGCTTTTTTATGCCAATTTAAGGGTCGTTTGGAACAGCTTAATTTTGTCTTTCCGTCGACATGGAAAAGTTATTTTTGAATTGTTGTTTGAAGGTGACATTTTGTTAAAATGTTTTTTTACAAAACAGCATTTTTTTATTGTTTTTAAAAGTTTTTTTGATATGTGCTTCTCCGTTACAAACTTCCATTCTCTCAACCAATGTTTTTAAAACTACCTTTTACAAAAGGTTCCGGGTAACCAAACGTAGCTTAAAGAATTCTCTCCTAATAGAGTTTGCTGTTATAATTTCTACATTATTCAAGTTAAAATTGCTTGGAAAAGAGGGTAATATCATGGCCTAATGGTGTGATTAGTAGCAGATGTGCTACATAATGCTCGATATCCTTGTTGGAATCAGGCTTTAATTGCTAGAGGCGTTGGTGGTGTGGCCCCTAAGGAACATAATGAGAGACAACAAGCACAATATTATTGCATCGTTTGACCGAGACCTAACGCCGACTTAGGTCCATGCTTTGCCAACTTTTGGCTAAATTTCACTAAATAATCTCACTAGATTACAAAACTTTTGTACTCTTAGCGTTGACATATATTTTCACATCGACGAAATTCCAGCCCGGATCGAGTCGACTCGAGCCCGACTAGGCTCGGTAATGTTCGACCCACTCATTTGAACGCCGTCGAAGCAAAATCGGACCCCGATTTATCGAAATTAAACTTTAACTTCATTAAATTAAACCTTAATTTATTTAAATTAAATCAAATTTAATTTAATTTAGATAAAAATCGGATCAAATCAAATCAAACTCAATCGAGCTTCGTTGAACCAAATTCGACATAATTCAAATTCAAATTTGCAAAATTGACTTGATCAGCCTTAATCGGATGCGAATCGGCTCAAACTGGTTCGAATCGAGTTCAATTTGGATTCAAGTTAGCCCAATTGACTCTTCCAAATTAGTCCTTGCATCCAACGGCTACATCTTGATTTTCAAATTTTGCGGCCGTTATCCCTCAGGCTTCGATTCTCGCGGGTAGCTACAACAGAGAGATCGCGAAGATCTCTTATCTCATGCGGCAAAAGTCTCATTCTGTGGCAAAAATGCTCGAGTAGGCATGGGCATGTCCGTCCCATATACAACGGGAGATTGAAAGGGAGCCTCATTCGGGTCCCCCGTGTCTGTCTGCCCTGAGCAAGAGCAAGAGAGAGCACCAGAGAGAGTAAGGTGGAGGCGGGACTCTTCCACCTTGTTCCTCCGTTCGTCCCAGACAAAGGAAGAAGAGACCTCTTGCATTAGATCCTTCCAGGCTGATTGAGGTCGTTTGCATGCGCCTCTACAAGGAGGAATTAGATCGCGTGCGGATCTTCCAGCCTAAGGAGAAGGGGGCACGAACTCCTGCCCGCGACCAAGTTCACACGGAATAGACCCGACGTTCGTCCCAGACCCGTTCACGACCCAGTTCGCGCGGAGGAGCACCTGCCTATGCTAAGCCCTTCCACGGCTAGTCTCGCCAGTTGATCTTGGGGTTTTCTCTTCTTCTTCCTTCATCTCCGGCGAGTTCATAACGGTCAAGGGAGTTGTTAGGAACTTCCAAGCAATAAGAGAAGTCTTCTAAGCCTCCCAAACACTGGTTTGAAAGCTTGGGAACACCTTGGATAGCGACTTGGAGCTTGAAGCGGAGCTTAGACAACAATTAAAACTTGAATTGGAGCTTGGACAGTAGCTTGGACAGGAATTTGGAGCGCTTGGACAGCCCAGGTGTGGTAAAATCCTAAAACTTAGTGAAACCTAGGGTCCCCTAAGGCCAATTGATGTGTGGTTGACGCCTCCAAGCCTTAGGTACTTAGAAACTTTGATTTTTGCTCTCCCAAAAATACCTTGTCAGCTGTCCTCTTTGCAAAACAACAAAATTTGGTGGTTTTCAGTTGTTGGTTCTCATGTGAGGATCCGGAGAGGATTTTAACGCGTATAGGAGTGTTGGATTTTGTGGGCTCCAAAAATTCGGCCCCGACCTCCTCGCCGCGTGATTGATTGTGCTTTGCTTTTTCTTCGGCGAGGGGAGTTTTAACGGAATTAGTTCCGAGGTAAATTTTGGAAGGTAGATGAGTTTGTAGATAAGACACTACCCAGAGATTTCACCTTCATATTTTGAGGACTTTATGATCTGAGTTCTGGTTTCCTATAGGCGCAAGCTCCTATAGTTAATTACCCCTCCTGATCACGAGAAAGAAATTTCGATTAAAGCTAGTCGTCGATCATATACGTAGAGATACGGGTTTGTTGGTTTGAACCCTGTTGACTTCTATTGACCCGTATAGAAGGATCGAGTTTGAACTTGAATTCACTTATCGACCCGCGCAGCATCCCTAGACGTCACGTGTATTCCTACAACACGCTCGTCGGGGCCCATACGGGTTGAGATTATATTTTCTCCTTTAGTGTACCTATGTGTATACAATTTATAGTGCACGTGCAGGGGTACTTTGAAATAATTATAATTGTGCATGTAACTATCGTTTGGATGCACACAACTTTTCATTTAAGAGCTTATACACGTCTTCTGTCCACTAGTACGAGTGTTGCGGATCCGGTGGCATGCATTGTAGATTGTAGACGCCTTCTATATGCTTGTGCAAGTGTTGCAGATCCGGTGGCGTTATAGTCTTGATGTTAACTCCACTTTCTCATTCACCGGGGAGGGGACTTCTTTGAAGTTCGTGACCACTGCTTTGGAAAGAACTCCTTCCAGAGTCTTTAGTGTAATATACTTGACATTTCCGATGTTTGTGGATACCAGAGTTGTTTTCCTTCCTGAGTACAGGATCGAGGAGGAATTTTGGGACACCGGGAAGTTTAGTTCGAATTTTCTTAAACTTTCTTTCCGTTCTATTAGGGGGTGTCCCTTTTCGTACGCCGGGTTGTCTTCGTACTCTACGTACTTGTAGATCTTTATCCCCATTGTCGTCGATAATATTTGTACTTGTGCCCATAGTGGTCCGTTGCACCCACTATGTATCCACTGTTGTTATTCACAAGTATTCATTTGTAGGGGACCGTTGTATCGACTACGAGCTCCTAGAGATGTTCATAGAAGAACCATTGTTGCCTACATCATGCCCACATTTCACCAATCTCAGGTGGTTTAATGATTGTACTTGTTTGTAGGGGCGAGTTTTTCCATTATTGGGTGTCAGCGTTGCCATCTCAATCTACAGGCACTTGTAGGGATTGTTGTAGGAGGTTCCAATAGTGCATGCCGGAGGGACATTCGTACATTCTGCAGCCATTCGTTGTTCTTGCAGATATGATGCCTCCGATCTCGTAAGGACTTGTTATAAGAGTCCACTTCATTCTTTATTTGCATGCATTGAGGTCTTGTAGTTTGAGTTTCCTCGTGTGTGATCCAAGTTTTGTTCTTTGCATGTGTATGAGTCCCAGTTCAGTTTCATTCAAACTTGAATTCATCAAGCTTACAAGTCCTCGCTCAATGTCGTATAGTCCGAGTTCAAGTACGAGTTCAGAATCTTCTGAAGTCCTTGCAAGTTCAATTATATGTTCGAATTGATTTGATTTCAGCCCCCAATTTAATTTTATTTCATTTGGATTTGAAAATTAGAAATCATTTAGGTTTTGTTCTGATTTAGGTCCCAAGTTCACTATTCTTCTTCAAGTACAAGTCCTTTATGGTCCAAGTCAGATCTTTACGCAAGTTCAAATGTTCAATTTGAGTCCATATCTTTGTTCTTTTTTGAGTTCAAAACAGGTCCGAGTATAGTAACATTTCACCCGAAATTTCGACAGCCTCCTAGCATCTCTCCCGTTTAGGGAAAAACTACGGAAAATTGGGCCTTTCCCACCATGCGCAATAAAGGCGTGCATAGTAGGTGTCCTCTTTCGAGGACACCGCGGCCATGATCTTTCTTCCCACCACGCGCAACAAAGGCGTACATGGGATCTTCGGTACCTGTTACAAGAAAAGAGCAGATTTCTTTCCCTCCGCTCGGGGGTACTTATGAATTGTTCCGGCCAAGCTAAGAAAAGAGTGCACCAGGCTTACCTGGCCTCGTCGTGTGCGTCGTACTGGGTTCCCTCCTACCACGCTCAACAAAGGCGTGCTTAGGTGGTTTGCCGGCTTGACACGCAAGTCAAGGAAGGAGGGCGAGGGGTCGCTCGCTTACCTCGTCGTAGATGTCGCACCGGGTTCCCTTCTACTACGCTCAAC